TCTATTATTCATACGGGTTTTGAAATAATGCCCACTGAAATCAATGGTCCTCTTTTCATGAACTACAGTTGGCTTTGGATCAGGCCTGGGAAGATGCATATCTTCCAGAAATGCCATAGGATAATTTCTTTAAAAAGCATTGAAGAAAGATATATGACCGCATGGGCTGATCAGGGCAAAGAAATTCCCATCTCTCTTTTATATAGATGGCTTCCTGCTCATATTGGCAATAATTTAGGTAATTAAATTGCTTAGTTCAGTAGTTGGAAGAGGTATGATCAACAAGCTGACTCTACTAAGATGTCAGGTATATTAGTGTTCTGCTGTTTTTTTGTGTTTTTTTTTGGTTGTTTTTTTTTTTTCTTTGTTTGTTTTGTTTTTCTTTTTTTTTTTTTTTTTTTTTTTTTTTTGTGTGTGTGTGAAAAGCTGTATAATTGGATACTGTCTTTTTTACCCCAGGTTAACCTCTTCTTCAGAGGAGCATACCAATGACATTTAAAATCACATTATGAATGCCAGCATAGTTAGATCATTTTATGGCATACAGTGATGTTCGGTGGCAGCAGATGAATGGATGAAATTAAGTACAATAATTGTATCAGCCCCCCTTTAATTTAACAGTAAGATGAACAGTTCGGTGGCATAGTTTAGTAAAATGTAAGTAAAAGCTCAGAAATGTTAACAAGCAGACTAAAGTCCATAACTGAACATGCTTTTTAGATTCAGCCTTGAATCACTTATCTTTCTACTGTCTCTGTAGGGTCTTTGAACATTTGCTTGCATGAGGTAGAAGCATTTTTATTAAACCACGCTCCTAAAATGCTCATCCTACTATTGACTTCAGTTTTGTTTTGTTTTATTAATATTTGTGACTGAATCACTCCTCTGAAGGATGAAGGAGATTACAGAAAGTGTACTGTTTTTTTCCGTCTCTAACTCATGTGGTTTTTGCTGTTGGTGACATCTCTTAAACCAGGACAGAAGAGCAGTCTCTGAAGAGGCCAAGATAGAGAATATCCAGTGCTTGTACTTAAATTGCTTGTCCAAGAAATGCCATGAAGTTTATTTCTCTGCCACATTCTTTGTATTTGCCCCTTCTTTTCCCTTTACTTTTTCAAGATACCCTTTCTAAACAAACAGTTTTGCTTCTATTTTTTTCATACAAGTTTTTCCTCCTTGTCCCCTGAATTAAAATAGTGGACTGCATTATCTGAGAAACAAGTTTAGAACAAAGTCACTATATGTCCCTTCAGGATCAGGCTCTGGCAGGACAAAGACAGAGAGAGCAGCATAAAAAACTCCCATAGTCTTATTTGCAATGGACAGGAGTTTCATTTTCTAAATAAAGTGATGTCAGAAAATTCTTTGACTTTGGTTCAGTCACGAATAAACCCCATGATAAAATGCAGCCCAGCTATGCCATTCCATTCTGGGTATATATGTGATTCTTTGGAAAGCAGAGTCCTAGCGCTGTTCCCAGCCTCAAGGGATAAAGCTCAAGAAGACAAAGCAGCATCCCTTAAAATGTAGGCGTGCAAGGGAAGCCCAACAGTGAGCAAAATATTAAAATATGTTTGAGATGAGAAGACCCAGTGCTCCTTCAGCTTTTTTTTTGTTGCTTTTTATGAGCACACATTTCCCAAAGAGTATTTATCTATTGTTTAAACGTAGAGAGGCCTTACCATGGATGTTTACTGATCTAAAACTCTATACCAACCCCCTTGAAAAAGCCATACCGAAGCTGAAGGTTATATAGAGCTTGTGTCTATCTTCTGCATATTGTTTGTTCAGCTGTGAGGCAGTGTGAATAGTTTAGTACTGTGCCTGTATTTTAAATGTAGAGAGCTCACTTTAACATTTACTTGCGTACTTCTCAGCCTGGATGCCATTCCCACATCATCTTTGTATATAGCCAGAATTATTCACCTCTTTTTTTCCTATTGAACTATTAAAAAAGGGCCTCAGACATAGAGTCCACAGTTTGGTAATAAACTTGGATGTCATAGGAGTTGTTAGTTCTTTTTGCAGTATCACTTAATATGTCAAAATGTGTCACAAATGGATCCCTAAATTATGTTTGTGAGATAAAAAGAAAAAGAGGTATTTTTAAAGGATGTACATTGATTTAGGCCACTTTGAGTAAAATTATTCCCACTTGATAGGCTGAACTAAAAAATAATAGTAATTAAAAAAAATCCACGTTGGCTATTTGGAAATAGGGTCAACTAAACAGTTTCTTATTCTTGGTTGACTCTGAAGCCTAAACTATCCCACTTTTGGCTCCTTTTTTGACCCTTTTTCCTGAAAGGGGAAATAAATGTTGATCAGATACTGTAATCTCAAACTGGGCTTGGTTTCACAGTGACATACTGAGGTGGGAAAGAAACTGGTGTGGAAAACCCATCACTAAAAATGCTTTATCTCCAACCTTTCTTCTAATACGTACTTCCTTGACATGATATGAGTCCTGTTGATGTGAATGGGGCAATTTTCTCTCACTGATATATCCATGTGTAAAGCAGTTGGAAGTTAAGAGACTTGGTTCAATTCTTCATGCTATAAAAATGTATAAAATTATGTATATTGGCCTGAATGCAAGAATAATCTTGAACCACAAATGTGTATTAAAGCCACCACAGGTTATGATTATAGATTTTAAGCAGATGTTCTGATTTGATTTGGTTTTTTTTTTCCACAACTTTTAGCCTAAATAACAGTTCTGAGACACCTTTCAGCATTCATAACTCAGCAATGAGCTCTTGAATGGTTTTGGCAAAGAGTGGAGAGGAATGTCACCTTTGAGACATAGCTTTTGAACCTGGTGATGTAGGTAGTTCTGCTGAGGCAGAAGTCGTGCGTGTACCCAGAGAGCCACGTCCACCAAGCTCCCCGTCATGCCACATCCACAGCCTGTCGAGCCAGTGTCAGTCTGTCCCTCCGCCGTCATACTGACTGACACTAGCTGCTGCTCTGCTCCTTTTATCCTGGCCTCATGTGGGTTAGCAGCTGGCAAAGACTGTTTTTAATAGTGTATTTATAAAACTTCACAGCCGTGCAAGCCCAGACACAGAGAAAAGACGTTTTGAGCTCTCAGCATTGGAAGTGTAAAACGCCGCATGGCAGATCTGGTTTCCCATCTCTCGCTGCCACAACTAACCTGATCTCCCATCATCAGTGCTAGAAAACAACATTTCCTAAAAAAATACACGGGAGAAAAAACCCAGGGCAGAAGCCTCCCATAGCTATTTTAGGTAATGCTTGTCCTGATCCCTCTGCAGGCGGCTGCCTGATTGGTATTTCAGTAATGTACTTATTTAAAAGGCAATTCTAACGACTGTAGGGCACGGTGATATTTTCATGCCCTTTTTACCCTGCAACCTTTTCCAGCTCGCTGAAACCGGAGCACCTCGCTGTCTCGTAGGGACACCGTCTGGTTAAGGTGTAAACTACAGCACCTGCTTGTGCCCTCTGGATTTAGGGTTGGTACTTGAAAAAGCATGAAATTTTCTCATTTTGTTTGTTGTTTGGGTGGTTTGCTTTTTTTTTTTTTTTTTAGTTTTTTCTTGAATTTATGTTCCACTGCTGGCGAATACTTCCAAATTTTATTTGCAGGGTCTATTAGATATATTTCTTTTCTCCTTGTCTGCATATGATGAAGGCTTTTGAAAATGTAGGAGCTTGTATTTTGTCCTAGGAATAAGGATTTACAGAGATGTCTAGGCAACTACATAAGATTTTCCTCTCTTTTATTTCCTAAACTAACATGACATGCACTTTATTTATGAGATACAATGGTAGAGATAGGCCCAACATTTGACTGATCAAGATCGGTTGAACAAATGCTGACACCACCATTCTTTTTGTCTGTTATTCCCAAAGAACACTATTGCTTTGAAAATAAATATCCTAGAAAGCTTAATCACCCTGCAGCAATGATCTAAAATATACAGTGTTCCCTTCATGCCTCTTTTACCTGGATATCAACAGCAAGAAGCTGATGTGCACGTTCAAAGACAGAAGAAACAGAAATTCCTGAAGAAAATGGACAAAGAAATCTCTGCATTAAGAAGGAAAAGATAGATTCAGGAGCTGGGAGAAAGTTTTCCAAAATGATTCCCTAGGCAGTAGGAGGTACAGAGTGGAAACTATTTTCTCTGTGTATGTGTATACAGTAGGTAGAACTGCAATGATTTTATGATCTCATAAAAAATAATAAAAAAACAGCAATAAGTCAATAATGATTTATTTTGGGTTTGGTTTTTTGTTTTTGGTTTTTTTTTTTTTTTTTTTTTAAATTTCATCTAGTGTTAGAAAACACAGCTACACTTTTAACAGCCCAGGGACTTTGCCTAGCTTGTTACAGTACTGACTGACTTCAGTGGCTTCAGTTAAGGTAAACTCAAACCAATGCCCTTAAACTGAAGATCATTCACCTGAGCTTTTCCACTTCTTTAAACTAAATAATTGAAAGATCTGTTTTGAAGCTGCTGAATTTATTCCAATAGAGAAGGACTGATGGCAACAAGTACATAATATGAAAACAGCCATGTATTTTTAACGTTTGTCATTTCTGAGGCTCTGGAACTGAAAGCAGAAATGGGTGAAGTGGCAACCGGTTGTGTGCGATTTGCAGTGGTTTGTATCTCGGCTCTGTGTTGTGTATCTCCTAATGATGAATGCGTGGGAGGGCCAGGTCAAGAATGGTTTCCACTCCAGTGCATTGATTGTGTAGTTGGCAGTGGGCTCAATTAAAGTATAATAATCTGGTAATCTCTCTCTAGTTTCCATTCAGGCTGCTGCAGACTGAATAAGGCCAGTGAAAGACTATAGTTTTTGAAAAGTAGGTGAACTTCTGCCTCTTTGTCTGAGCAGTTTGCATCTAGTCAAGTAAAATGATGGGCAGAAGAGACAAATCTCCAAAACATTGCTCCCGTGACTTGCGTCATTACTGCTGTTTGAGTTTCTATGAGATAACACTTGTTCTTTACTTTCCTTTCTAGGCTACGGATTGGATTTCTAGTGAGCTTCTTACCACGGAGAGAAGACAGGCTGATGTGAGGAAGGAGATACGGCTATGTCCATTACGGGAAGATGTCGTGTGCCCCATCTCCTGGTTCTTCTCACTTTCGTGTTCAGCGGGGAAAGAATTGAGGCACAAAGAGCAGGTAAGCGCTGTTTGGCTTACTGCCTTGTGCTAATTAGCTGCTGAGGCTTTTATGTGGCTGAGAAGCTATTGTTGCTAGGAGGAAAACAATAAACAACTTGAGCAAGACATTTATTGCTGAAAAGACATAAACCAGACCTTTAGGATGGAGATAGCTCAGGGATCAAAGTTATGATTTACCTAGGGTCTCTTGCTCTGCTGCAGACTTAGAAAGGTCACCTCAGCTACCCACAGCAAGGGGAGCAGCACAGAGTTTACACTGGGCATGCTTCACCTACCTAGCACTGGCATCGACGTCACTTCTTCCATTGCCTTCAGTGGGTGTCAGATTAGATCTGGGGAGTCTTCTGTCTGTCTGGGACTTTCCTAGTGAGCTAAACAGGGCCAGGACATTGTTCATACTCTCTCTTGGTTCTACTGTCTAGTTGCTAGCATGGTCCCTGGCATGGCTTTAGGCCTGTGCAGAGGAGCACTATCCCCGAAATGCCAGTGGATGTATCAAAGGATGGTGCAGCTGAGGGACACTTTCTTTAGGCATTCTTGACAAGGACACATTGTTTTTTGGGGGGTAGTGGGAAGAGCTGAGTTATCTGCCTGTGAATGATGCTACACCTCAGGGACAGAAAATGATTGTAGACCCACACAGTTTATTGGTATAAAAGCCTAAAGGTACTTTGAGATGGACACTTTCTCTATTTTTTTCTAGGAAAGATGCTATTCTGTAGGCTTTGATAATTTATAAGAAAGAAAAGGATTTTTTAGACCTTCTCTCAGCCTTAAGGAATAGCTGCTTTACAGTTTTGTTATGTGATCTATATGAAGATTTTTTGGATTAATTTTATCAGGAATAAGTACTTAGGAACAAAACAAAGTGAAATGATCTTTTTTTACTGCCTGTGGATCAGTCAAAGGAAGAATATGGTGAGACCGATTATATGTTCATTCTGTGATTACTTTAAATACTTTTGGCTTGTTTGTGAACTATTTTTAATGGCTGAATTGCAAAACAGTTGACTCAGTGTCTGGGTGGATGAATGCAACTCCTGGAATTATGCTTCCAGAGAGTATTCCTGTGATTATGAAATTGAAGATTCACTTTCTATGAATTATCTCCCATATTCCCTTAACTTGAACTGTTTCTGCCAGTAAAAAAATATTTTTATAGAATTCTTGAAAACAATTTTGTCCAGCAGTGGACACTACTGTGCTAAAAATGCAGATTAATATTTACTAAAAGCTTTTCTGCAGCATTTCATCGCACTGCCATCAGGTCTGTAAACAAAGAATCACTGACTCTAAGAAAATGATCCTGAAAGATCAACTTTTTCTTCCCTGCAATACTGTCTGAATAAGCATCACTTTTATATCTTAAACTGCCCTTGTTTTAAGGCTCATTGCCCTTGAAGACAGACAGGATTCATTCTGTCTGTTCTGTTTGTTTTTAAATTGCAGTCATCCAGCCTGCTGAGAGTCATTAAAATAAGCAACAGGAAGGTCTGTAACTTTTAAATTTTAGACTCAAACCTTTATATTTTCTAGTTAGTCTCACCTAATTAATATTCTTTCAGACAGAATAGATTAATATATTAATGATTTATTTGGGGGGGGGGGGAAAGTGGAGATTTCTTGCTTACCTTTTACTGTTATTTATTCTATCCTTTATATTCTGCAAAAATCAAGCAGAACTACACTTGATAGTGTAGCTGGTATATACAGATGTAGTGTAATTTACATCCCATAATATAAAATTATATATACCATCATCTCCACACTCTGATTGTCTTTGAAAGAATTTTTCCAGACAGACCTTTCTTTCTTTGTAGTTAGAGACAAGCATTCCCTCACTCACAAAATGCCATCACAGAATATGATCCCATGTGGACAGGTTGTTTCCCACGTGATCCAACATGGATGGGTTCTTCCCAATGTGATCCCAATCCCATGTGCATAGGTTGTACCCACAGGCACTGAAGGAGCAGCAGCACTTGGGATATACTCTGATACAGAAGTTTACACAGCAACAGATGATGCTCATTTTTTATCATCACCTGCAACACACCAGGTGTGTATTCAACCACTCTTATGGCCATCATGCAATATGATGAGCACCATACAGTATTATAATGTCTACCTATTTTTTACACTAATCTGAAGGCAAATCCTCTTCATGTAGCTCAGCTACCCACACTCTCCTTTCCAGTGTAGTGGTCTGTTCTGGAATTCCTGTCCTCTTCAGGGCAGTTGCATGTCCCTAACATGATCAAAAGCACCAGAGCTAATTTATGAACCATAAGGTCAAATTTGGATGTGGGAAAAGACTTTTTGCCCTTCCTGTAGGCTCAAATGCTGGAATTCAGGAAATATGGCAACAGCATCACTTCTCCCACCTTTGGGTAGCATGATTCACAATTTCTGTTCACTGAGCTGGCTGCCAAGCAAGTGCTTGATGGGATAAACTGTGTATGATACCTCCATACTCTGGTCTGTTCCAGGGAAAAAAGTCCTAGTGCTCAACTATCATCCACATTTGGTGCATTTACATCAGTGCTTTAGCTCTGGTCAGGAGTGTAGCAAGGACAGATGACTTCCTAAGGGTATGGTAGCCAGGATCTGGGAGTCTCTCTTGGCTGGCAGGACAGGGTTTCACTAGCTATGGCCTGTCCCACCACCCCCAGCCAGGGAGCAGGAAAGGCTAAGTCATGGAAGCCAGGCTCAACTGACAATCCAGATGTCCAGACAAGCTCACAGTGATGAAGCAGGTCCAAGTTCAGGCTAGGAACATGAGTCAGCAAGTCCAGATACATATCAGGTCCAAAGATAGCATCCAGGGTCAGCCACTCTCCAGGTAAATCCACAGAAATGAGGCAGGTCTGAGGTGAAGCCAGGAAGTCAGTCCATGGCTCAGGCAAGGAACAAAGGTAAGAGCCTCACCTTAAAAGCAGCTTCCAGAGGAAGAAGAGACAGGTTTTTCTAAAGTGCTTCCAGCAGAGCTTTCTGAGGAACTCACCAAAGGCTAGGGAACCATAGCAGCCAAACTCTGGAGAAGGGGTTTACTCTCAGGACCCTGACAAGGCTTTCAAACTTCCACAGTGAATCTTCCAAGCCTCTCCACTTACTGTGCTTTGATTCATATCATGGAGCAGTCCTGGATTGATTTCTGATGAAAATGAACTGCAAGATGCACATATAACGGGTCCCGGTCACTGATGGATATTTAGTTAATGGGATCTGGCTTTAACTACTCTGATATGAGTGAGAACACGTAAAACATACAGTGGGAATGTCAGTTTTCAATGTATGGAGAGCTGAACTGTCCTTGGTGGGCATACCCTGGAGTTATGTTTTCTGACAAATACTCCCAGATTTTTCCAACCAAGGGAAGTAGGTTGGTCAGTACAGGTCAGAGCCCAGAGGAGTTTATTAACATGGTTATGATGGGAACAGTTGCAGGAATCAGGGTCCTGCAGTGAAATACGAGTTGACAGAACAGATCTGCTCTCAGTGGGTGTGGGTAGATGTGGTCTATCAGCTCAGATCCTGGTAAAGCAGTAGAATTTAAAGGAAATTTCCAATAGTTTAGGGGCTAGATAGAACAACCTGTTCAGTGGAACATTGAAAATCCCTGTTACTCTTGAGAGAAATAAAGTGGCATGGGCACTGGTATGGACCAGCTGTTTTGTATCATGTTATATGTGATTTGTTCTCCACCTCATTGGTCAAATTAGCTTTTTACCATCGATTCAAACAAGCAGTTGTACTTTGTGAGATGATGTGAGACAAGAACTACTGGAGAAACAGTGATTGGTGGTTGTGACCATAGTCAAATTGACTTTGGGTAGCAGCTTTCAATCTTGAAACTCATAATTTGTTAGGGATTATTGTCTATAATAGTGAATTAAATAAACAAGTTTATATATATGCATTTTGTCCAGTTGATGCATTATATTGATAAATCTTTGGCATCTGTGGGACATCTATGAATCTACTGCCTCCTGGCTTGCATAATTCAGAAATAGCTGGAAAACATCTCCTGGGAGATCTACATTCTGGGCAAGTAGCTGACAAATATATGATCAATCTGACTTCATTGGGCAAGCAGATTGCAATTAAAATACATTTTCCTTTTGGATTACACAGGCCTCAGATTACAAATACCATGGTTGAAGGCAAGAGGGTGGTTGTGGGGATAAGTGAACTTCTCCCTTACAAAGCAACTGCCCTTTGTCATGAAGGAAGTCATCCCAGTATTCAGTGAGTCATCCTTTAGTCAATAGTCAATGGCAGAGAGCCTGAAAATCAAAATAATCGTGTTACAAATTTGCTTCACCAACATATCATGCTGAGCAAAAGAACTGCTTCTAGCTAAGCATAAATAAATCTTAACATTAATGCAAGAGGGAACATGAAAGCTTCACTACTCGTGGTCAGGATTGGCCTAGGCAAGGTCAGTACAGGTCTCTTGATCTGCCAAGGTCATTTCAGAGCATTGCCTGAGCAAAGGCACTGCCATGAAATTTGAGAAAAATAGCTTTAGATGTATGCAGATCGTGTAGGTGAAAGATTGAGCAGAGGTAGTTAGTAGTGCAGGAAGAGAAAGGGTTTGCATCTCAAAGCGAAGTGTGTGCTGATGTCCTGAAACAGATGAGGTGAATCACAAGGAAAAAAGGCTGAGAATCTGCACTTTCTCTGCAGGATAGGGAGCGGGTTTGCTGCCTTCTGCAAACTGCTCACTAGGGAGCTTTGCCTAGGGAGTATTTTGTATCTCTGGTACTCTTCTTTCATCTTTCCTTAGCTATATTTTCTGACACTCTTGCAGGTTGCAAGAATGTTCACTATGACCTTGTCTTCATTTTGGATGCCTCCTCCAGTGTTGGAAAAGAAGATTTTGAGAAAGTTCGACAGTGGGTATCTAATTTGGTGGAAACTTTTGAAATTGGCCCAGACAAAACCCGTGTAGGTGTGGTGCGATACAGTGATCGTCCAACCACAGAGTTTGACCTGGGAAAGTACAAAACCCGTGAGGAAATCAAAGAGGCTGCACGAAAAATTAAGTATTATGGGGGTAATACGAACACTGGAGATGCTCTCAGGTACATCAACACCTACAGTTTTTCCAAAGAAGCTGGTGGAAGACTTAGTGATCGAACTGTTAAAAAAGTGGCTATCCTTTTGACTGATGGAAGGAGCCAGGATTATGTCTTGGATCCAGCCACTGCAGCCCATCAGGCTGGGATTAGGATCTTTGCTGTGGGTGTTGGCGAAGCCTTAAAAGAGGAACTCGATGAGATTGCTTCAGAACCCAAGTCTGCTCATGTGTTTCATGTCTCCGATTACAACGCCATTGACAAAATTCGGGGGAAGCTGAGAAGACGTCTCTGTGAAAGTAAGTAGACCTCCCAGTTCTTCTAAATAATTAGAATTATAATAGGTTCAATTAGCATATAGGTATGAAAAACTGTGATTGTTTTCTTTCATGCTTACAATTCTATGCTGATAATTCTTTATTTTAGTGTTTTCCACTCTGATCCACTCTGTAAGAAGTCATTTCACTGGCTGGACGTTGATGAAGTGATAGTTTCTGAGTTCTTTTTCCCAAGTCAGCATTAACTATAGGTCAGCTTCTACTAATCAACTAGTGAGCAAAATGTAAATTCCCTTCTGGTTCTGAAATAGTTTATTACTTTATAATATTTTGGACTACTGAATACGAAGGGTGACGCCTTATTTATACCCATATTTTGATTTATTTTGTTTAGGAACTGTTTTTTTTTTTCTCCCCTGTTTTATGGAATTGTACTGTGAAAAGAGTGCTCTGGATGCTGCTGAGAGTGATCCTTTAGGAAGCAAAAGGATACTCGTGCTTTTCTGCCTTTCATCATCTGAACTGTACCGACAACTGGTGTTCACTAGTGCTCTGGCTATCAATCACATAAACCTTGGTGATGTTTTGAATGACTTTTAATGGAGATCAGTGTGTGAAATTCACACTGAATAAATGAACTTTGAATTTAATTTCCAGCCTCTTGGCAAAGAGGACTGTGATGGCATTATAGCTGGTATCTCCCAGGACTTTAATGGGAACAGCAATCACATAACCCTTTCTCCTTCCACCACCGATAAATCACTCTCTTGTTCTTAGTGACTACATAAAAGCTACCTGTTTTTTTCTGCCTTTTGCAGTGTGTGTTGTGGTTACTGTGAATTCTTTGGGTCAAAATCATGAGACATCTCTGGTTTCTACAACAGCTGACTCCGTGTGATGCTGTAACACCTGGCAGCGTTACAACCACCAGGTCTGTAGGCTTGCAAGTTGTGTTGCTGTCAGGTGATGGTAAGTTCCTTGAAAAAAAGCAGGCCTTTGTTGTGAAAGCTCTTTTATTGCTCTCTGTGACCTCCATTTGCAAGAAAAAAGTGTTAACATAACGTTCTGGGCTTACGTATGCTTCTTAAAGAGTGACTTGCACAAGCAGGCATAAGCCAGTTGACATTTCCTAGCAGTATCAAGGTGTGACTGCTTTTTGCAGCCTGAATAAAAATGGTTATGGATAGTGTAATCCAAATACAAGTGGAAGCCACTGTGGATATTGACTGTAACCTATGCAGACTAAAGGATCTCAGTCTTTTTCCCTGAAAAATTTAATCATACACACAACTAGGGTATAATAAAGAAGATAAAATCCTTCTGGTGAGCACGCTCAACCAAATCAACTTCCTACTGAAGCTGATGAACTCCCCAAAAGTGATTTTCCTTTGACATAATGTTTCTTTTCTTTTTTAAAGCAAGTGTTTTCAGAACTTTGTACCTGGGTTGGTGTTTGCCACCTTCTCAAAAAATCATTTATCCTTCTATCAGAGTATAATGTCATTTGTCGGTGGCTTTCTGAGCCTATACTACGTCCACACGGGTGTTCATACCGCTTCTCATTAGGTTGCAGAGGATCACTGGGAGCCTCCTTCATCCTGAGTGTGACAGCAGTCACTCTCCAAGATGCTTGCATCCACCTGCACTAGTGGATTTAGTGGGGAGACATAAAGCCTCTAAAAGGGTAGGTAAAAGGGAAGCATTTAATTTTATGAGGTACAGGGAACTTTTAAGCGGAAAACATGCTTGTGGTGGGTTAACCTAGTCTGGACTCCAGATGCCCACCAAGCTGCTCTATCACCCTCCCTCCTCGATTGGACAGGGGATAGAAAATATGACAAAAGGCTCATGGGTCAAAATAGGGACAGGGATAGGTCACTCATCAATTACCATCCAGGCAAACAGACTCAACTTGAAGATATTAGTATATTACCAATCAAATTGGAGTAGGGTAATGAAAAATAAAAGCAAATCTCAAAACACCTTCCCCTCACACCTCCCTTCTTATCAGGCTTAACTTTACTCCTGATTTCTCTACCTCGTCCCCCACCAGTGACACTGAGTGATGGGGACTGGGGGTTACGGTCAGTTCATCACCCGTTGTCTCTTCTGCTCCTTCCTCCTCAGGGGGAGGACTCCTCACACTCTGCCCCTGCTCCAGAGCATGATCCCTCTCACTGGAAAGAGTCCTCCATGAACTTCTCCAACGTGGGTCCTTCCCATGAGCTGCAGTTCTTCATGACCTGCTCCAGAGTAGGTCCCCCACAGGGTCACAAGTCCTACCAGAAAACCTGCTCCAGCGTGGGCTCCTCTTTCCATGGGTGCACAGGTCCTTCCAGGAACCTGCTTCAGCTCAGGCTTCCCACAGGGTCACATCCACCTGCTCCGGCGTGGGGTCCTTCACAGGCTGCAGCGGAGATCTGCTCCACCTTTAACTTTGGTGGGCTTCAGGGGCACAGCCTTCCTCACCATGGTGTTCACCATGGGCTGCAGGGGAATATGCTCTGGCACCTGGAGCACCTCCTCTCACTCCTTCACTGACCTTGGTGTCTGCAGAGTTGTTGCTCTCAAATATTCTCACTTTTCTCTATGGCTGCAATTGTGCCAGTTTTTTTCCCCCCTTCTTAAATACATTATCACAGAGGTGTTACTACTGTTGTTGATGGGCTCGGCCTTGGCCAGTGACAGGTCCCTCTCACTTCAATAGGAGCCTAGTTTTGTCCTCTTTTCACTGGGTATCAAAACCAGTTCATCTGTTCCTCTGTACTTCAGTCTTTTCTGCTTGGAAGGCTGTTGCATATCTTCCCTAAGTCTTTTCTTCCTAGATTTAAAGCAGGGAATCTGCTCTTTGGCAGAATCAGGCTAGTCATACTTACTCATTTCATTTACTGTTTTGCATCCTAAATGTTTTTAATAAGCATGATGTTTAGATCAGATCTAAACAAACAAGAAATTCTTGCTGTCACTGAAGGCGACAGTGAGGGCACCATCAGCAGAAGTATTCATGTAGACACCAGGTAACTTTTTTGTTACCTGCATATGTGAGGTGGAACTGTTTTGGGGGGCGAGAGAGGGCTGGTGGAGAACAAGACCAAGTGATTTCTTGTTCATGTGCCACTTTTAAATTTCAAGTTAACACAGTAAGAACAGGAAAGGAGTTCACTGTAAGTGCTGTGCCTTACACATATTTAGAAGGTAAAACTTTTAATAGCTGTTTTAGTTAACTTTCTGTGGTTTTAATGACAGCACTGCATAAAATAGGAACATACAAACCACTGGGTGGGTCGAGGACGTGACAAGGACATATGCCAGGCTGCTGTTTAGTTTGTACACATTCTAAGACAAGAACATAGATTGCCACAGCCAAACTAGGGTTTTAACAGACATAATCCTTTGTGAGCTCCTGGGAGACACATGAATCAAAGAGCGGAAATGGTAGAAAGTTTTTTTTTGTTGTACTGACCAGTGATGAGTCTTCCAGTACTTGTACTGCTGTACTACAGAAATGTGAAGACTTAAGAAGTGTTGTAAATACTGCATTTCATGCCAGCAGCTGTTCAGAATCACTTGTCTCAGGTCTCACTGGACGTCTGTCCTAGACTCAGTCATTCCATCTTGCTATATTTGACTGAATTTATTGTTAAGAACATGTCATTAAGTGCATTAATAGCAATCGAGGTCTCATTTGATCTTGTGGAAGTAAGCATAGCAGAATTGAAAAATAACCTGTCTGCTCAGTGGGACATTGTGACAGTGGGAGATATTTTTGCCAAACATCTCTATTACATTCTGCACTATAGTTAGCAGGAAAAAATGGGTGATGCTTTCACAGGAAAGCTGGAGCGATACATTCTGCTAAAAATTCCAGAGATGCTACATGCTTCCTAAACAAGGTTTCTGCTTATATGTTGTAGAGATAACAACAGGCAGCTATAGAATATTTAAAAATATGCTAGTATCTGCTTCTAGTAGGTAAATAGTAGGTTTATGCTTGTCAAAGAAAGCTAATTACTTTGATTTTTAACCCAGATTTCCTTTGAAGCTGGATGTGATAAATTAGTGCATGTACTAAGTTTTCAACCTGACTTGAAAATGGTGGCACTGGTGTTTAACACTGTCATCTGACATTTAATCCTCAATGTGGAAGATGTTGAAATGGTGACCTAAATCACCCATACCTGCTCAGAGGTAATTTTTTCTTAAAAACACTGATTGCAGTGCATTTGATGCTGCAATATTTGCATTTATTCTGTTGCCATTTAGCCAGGCAGGTGATAAGATACAGTTTGCAAAGCTGAGCAAAAACATTCTCCAAAAACATTCCCACTCTTCATTGACTCCATAAAGCAGAAGCCTGTGACTTGGCACCCTCAGAGTACACGGTGTGTATGTTTGATTACTAAGCCTCTTCTCTTCTCCAAAAATCAGATTTCACAACTTGAAAATGAATTTGACTGAAGTAGTACAGTCTCAGCTGAGAGATCTGAGTGTTTTTTTCTACAGCTAGTAATAGGAGAAACATAGAAACACAAGCAGATGTTTTCTAAGGAAGTACCATAGGAATATTGTGCTCAGTTTTGGTCTATGTCCAGTAGTGACTTTCATGTATAATGTAGCCCTTTCTACAACCAGTTTTTAGTTGTCTGTGAACTTGATGAGCTCCTTGCCATGATGAGTTCCTCTGCAAGTATGTGGAAGATCAAAGGACTATATCATTGTATGAATCTCCAATGCTTTGCAAACACAAGGAGATGAAGCTGAAATGTTCCCATGACTGTTTGGTACCAATGATTTGTCATTGATTTCAGTTGATATAGTGAAGCCTGTGATAAAATATCAAAAACAGTCACACATTCAGATGATTCATAACATTTTTTTTTTTATTTTACATGTCTTTGTTGACTTTGGGTTGTGTATGCAGTGCATAAAATGTAACTCTTATGCTACCACTGTTCTGTTTCTGATGCAAAAGGGCTTCCAGCCTTCAAGGCAACACCATGAACACCATTCAAAATAATAGC